AGACCTCTGTGAGTTCAAGGACAGTCTGGTCTACAGAGTTATTCCAGGACAAAGATATACAGAGAATCTGTCTCAAAAAGTAAAAGTAAGCCTGGTGGTAGTGGCACACGCCTTTAATCCCAGCACTCGGGAGGCAAAGGCAGGCAGATCTCTGTGAGTTTGAGACCAGCCTGGTCTACAAGAGCTAGTTCCAGGACAGGCTCCAAAGCTGCAGAGAAACCCTGTCTTGAAAAACCAAAAAAAAAAAAAAGTAAAAGTAAAAATAAAAGAAATAGAGGTTAAAATAAAGCCATGTAAAGATGAAAAATCCACAGAGAATCTTGATACTGTATGTTATTATGCTCTCTTTGAATTGTGTGAATGCTGAGGAAAAAAGCAACAGCTGCTAAAAGATACTTGTTTATAAATGCTGCTGAACTAATCCAAGATAGGTATTTTGAAAATACCTTGACTTCAAAATTTGGATATAATGCTTTGGAAAAGTCCTTCTTTTGTTTTCACAGAGGATGAGACCCTGTGGATTCCTTCTATCTCAATATGGTATGATGGACCATGCCCTCCTTAAAGGTTGCTGTGAACACCTTCAAAAAATTACTTCATTCAACTGCTGACTGAGATGAATCTAGCACACAGGTTATACCATGAAAGACCTGAATAACAGTGCCCCCATTCAGCACGAAGCAGTTTGGAGAGGAAAAAGCTGTACCCACGTTCCCAAATATTGTTTATAAATGTTCTTTTACATTTAAAGGGGGATATGATATAGATATGAATAATTTACACTAGTATAAATTTTGTTATATGTATATGTATTTCGGATATTGATTAAGGTATTGTGATTGTGTAGTTCATTTAAACATGTAATGTTTAATTAAGAAATATTGATGAATAATCATCAATAATAGTCAAGTTTGTAGTCATGTTAGATTTTCTAGACACGTAGAGATATATTTCAGTTAAATAGGCATTCTTCATATCTTTCAAAGACTACAGAATGTGGCATTTAATGTTTTAACAACTTAGGGCTTTTCATGACAATAAGACACATCTGCTCCTGGCAGCACCAATCTACTTCAAGAGGAAGATGGGCATTGAAGAGGCTCCTTATGGAGTTTGATAGCCATTTGGGCAAAAAACTGCTCTTGCCTAGACTGTTGCATAAACTGGACACAACCTGCAGGAAGAGGACTGCTGAACTTGCCTAAAGGTGAGATGGTCTTTCATGATGACTCATGAAAGAGTCTGTGAGACATTCTGCAGGACACAGAAAAAAGTAACTGAACTGTCTTTGAAATTTCCTGCTTCATGGAAATGTCTGCTGGATATGGGCCTATAGGCTGAAGATGGATGCCCCAACAGTACAAAAGAACTTTGGGTGACTGTCCAGGCAGTGAGATGTCTCTGTCATTTCTAGAGTTTGGAAGTTGCTTACTTCTTGTTTACTTAGGAAATATTATATCCTTCTGGAGTCTTTGATGGAGTTGAAGAATGGATAGCTAGTTATAGTTTTCCTTAGTTATGATAAAAGATAAAATAGATATAAATATTATAACTAATTCTTGCTTGATAACTGTTTTGTTATATGTAATTTTTCTATGTTAAAGTTAAGGCCTTCCTTTTTGTTTAAACAGAAAAAGGGGAAATGATATAGGAGGGTCTTCTATCTATCTGTTGCTTTCATTGGTTAATTAATAAAGAAAACTTCTTGGCCTGATAGGTCAGAACATAGGTAGGCAGGGAAGACAGAACAGAATGCTGGGAGGAAGAAAGCAGAGTCAGGCAGATGCCATGGAGCCAGCCGCCAGGTCAGATATGCTGAATGTTTCCCGGTAAGCTAACATTTTGTGGTGATACTCAGATTATTAGAAATGGGTTAATCAAGATGTGAGAGTTAGCCAATAAGAGGCCAGAACTAACGGGCCAGGCAGTGTTTAAATGAAATAGTTTGTATGTTGTTATTTCGGGTGTAAAGCTAACTGTGCCGGAGCCGGGTGGGAC